AAACTCTCTCTCTGGTCCTGACAGTGTAATTCATTTTCACCTAAGCAGGACACAAATTTTATGTTATGGGCAGGGATATCATTACAGTGTTAGACTAAAAGCTCAGATCAAAGTGAGAGATCTTTAATATGGCATAAGTGTGTGAAAATGTGATATTTAAGTAAGGTTTTTATAAAAGTGCTTTTGTTAAACTTAAGAGGGAGGTCATCAACAGCAGGAAAAGGAACTGACTTAAACGTAGATTTTTACATTTTTCTTGACATTTTTCTGATGCGGGTGTTTTGTGGGTGGTTGTCAGTGTGTTGCTATGTAGATGCCAAGGTGTTCTGAGTATTTGTAGGATGTTGCCATCTGGGGTTGAGGGAGTGCTGGGTGTTTGGTTATTGGCCTAAAAGGACCCACTCCACTCAAGTCTATGATATCTTCATGGTTAGGCTTTGGAGCTTTGAAGGTCCGTTCAATGTTTAGTGTTCAAGTTCAATGTACTCTGTGAGTTTGGGGACAGTAAGATGTTTTAAAATAGTTGAATTACCTTGTTCAGCAATGATTAAGGCATCAAAAGTGACAGTTAAAGCATTTATAATATTACAAAATATTTCTATTTCAAATAAATGCTGTTCATTTGAATAATGAAAAAAATGTAATGTATCATGGTTTTCACAAAAATATTAAGTAGCACAACCATGTTCAACATCGATAATAATAAGAAATGTTTTTTGAGCACAAAATCAGCATATTATAATTATTCTGAAGTATCATGTGACACTGAAGACTGGATTAATGATGCTGAAAATTCAGCTTTGTCATCAAAGAAATAAATACATTTTGAAATCTATTACAAGAGAAAGGTGTTTAAAAAATATATATATTTCTGTAATGGATGGCTGAAGATGAGGTTATATAAAGCGAATCTATAATCAGGGGTGCACCGCACATCACTTTTTTGGTCTGTTTCTCAACGGAGCAACTGGAGATGCTGTTTACTTTACGCGGCACACTTATCCTACAAGCTGTCGTCATCACTTTCTTTAGTTTTCTCTTTCTTTAGTTTTCTCTTTCATCAATAACACTATTTGTTCACTGTAGAAATTTAATATCAAGCTGTATTTTTTATTTTAACATTAATGACACAGACAACAGCAGGAATATTAGGCTGCTGTCACTTTAAGACCGAGGTGCACTGACCGAATATACTGACACACATCCGGTTTCTTTCTCAACTGTTCACTTATGACATAACCAAGAGAATACTTGCCGAGACAGGTATTTTAACATAATTCTGTGTGTATGTGTCCGTTCAAGCGCAAGTAAATGTGAAAGAGGAATCAATTCGGTGTTACAGCGCTGTGTGAAACTCGGCTCTTTCTCTCTCTTTGCGTGTGGCCGTGCGCACAGATAAAAACACAGATTTTCTCCTCTTTTTTCACGTTTAAAATCGAATGAATGTGTAAATTGGCAAGACAAAATGAAAAACATTCACTCTGATGGTTAAAAAAAAAATTGTTTGGTTAAAACTGTATCGTTTATCGTCTAGTTATCTGTCAAGTCTTAGTCTAGTTTAGTCACTCCTTGTCTTGTCCATGTTTTGCCCCCTCGTGGGTTTTGTTTTCCCTAGTTTTGTCCTTTAATAAACTGTGTCAAGCATCCTGTCTGCGGCTGGGTTCATCTCTGTAATTCTTAACTGAGTCAACATTCTTATTAAAAAGTAGGACTTGTTTAAGAGCAGGAGTTATTTATAAAGAAGCTGAGCAACTTTCAGCAAAGTCTAAGATGGACTCTTATGTGTTAACTGAGGTGGCACTTAAAGCCCAAAGTATACTTCGGCCGTCCGCATTTCGCGCACTGTCCGTGCGTCATCGCATGTGCGACTCAAGGGACTTGAGCGCTTGAAAAATGCTAGATAAAGTCCACTAGATAGTGCACACGCACCGGACACGTCTTCCCGTTCTCACGGCCAAAGAAGTATAATTTGAAAGGCTTGCGCGCTCAACTGTGCATGAGACGGAGCGGAATGGGGAAAATTAACTATACCCAGGCCTTAAGTGTTGCGAACTATGGACTACAATGATGTCAACCCAAAAATGTCCGCCCTCAACCTCTGAATTAGCCAATAGTGAGCCTGGAAGGGTAATCATGGCAGCATGACTATTAATAACTAAAATTAAAAACATAAATATTAATAACTGATTATGTTGTAGTCAGTGTATGCTTTTCCTGTGAGCTTTTTGTTTTTCTTTGGATTTTTTTTGCCTTTTGCCATTTGGTGCCATTTAATTGTGTCAGATAAACATATTTTAAATATATATATATATATATAAAACATTTTCCTCATATTTTGATGGTTTAAATTAAACTTGTAGGGCCATTAAAAACAAATTTCCCCTCAAGACATCACTTTTGGCCACTACTGTATGTTTGGTGTGGTCAGTACCACAATAGTGCTAATGCAGACCCTGCTTACTGTGGGCTTATGGGTCCAAGTCATCACTGGTGCACTGCTGCAGTTTTCCAGGTTTCCAGTGTCATTATTACTGCAGTTAGAGCATTGATTTGTAGAGTGGGAGAAGTTACATTTTTTTTACTAGGTCAGTTACAAAAAGAATACCTAGACAATCAAGCTTGTATTCTTTCATTAACTCGGTTATTATGTAACTCTTTCTCTCTCCCTCTCTTTCTTTCTCTGTGGAGCTGAACTCCTCCCAATATCTTGGTGATGCTATTTCATCTTATTTGCATATTAACCATTTGGTTGCCATGGTGTAGAGGTGGTTTGTGCCATGTGACCTTTTCTTTGCTTTCTTCATCTTCTAAGTTATTCTTTCTTGGCTGCCTGTACGTACAAATACAGGTTGCACATAAAATTAAGTACCAAACACATCCTATAAATCTTTTAGTAATGTAGCAATAACATTTTCACATTACCACATCCTCTTTACAAATTGCAGGCATATTTAATTATATGGTTTATTTAATTATTATTTCTATTTAATAATTTTATTTTATTTTTTACATGTAAGTAGATGATCGCATGAACTGTGTATTGAAGCCTTCGTTTGAATTGTTTCCACGAGTCCAAACTTCAAGGCCTTGTTATCTCTCTCTCTGTTTTGTTATCTCTCTCTGTCACACAAAGCCTGTTACAGAACATTGTATTTTACGGAGCCCTTAAAGGGACATGGTGGTAGAAGAAACGTATGAGATGGAATGAATTATTTGTCAGTGCTTTTGCGTTCTCTAGTTAACGTTTTCCGTTCCCCCGAGAAACTTTGAGTTTCCTCACAAAAACGTTTGCGTTCCGCAGAGAAACTTTGAATTCGAAATATTTTGTTCAAACAAAGTTTATCGGGGTAATGCAAAACATTTGCGAGAGAGCGCAAAAGCATTGACTTTTTCCTTCCATCTCATATTTTTTTCCACCACCATGTCCCTTTAGGGCTCCATAGTATTGTACCTAGTATTCTGCCAGAGGAGAAATCTGCACATGCCGCAGCTACACAATGTGCCACCTAGTGAGAAGGAGTGTTTTTAAATGACTTTCAGGTAGGGCTGGGCGATATGGCCAAAAAAAATATCACGATAATTTTTTTATATCAGTCGATATCGATAATTATCACGATAAATGTCAAATCTTTATACTAAGTAAAGTTGTAGAAACCAGAGCATTAATTGTGGTTTTAAACTACTCTTTATTGTCAGAACATATGACAGACACTTGCCAAACACGAGAACATTAGCCAAATCTGAGTTAGAACATTCAGACATGTCATTTTTCCTTAACAAAATAAATATCTTGATAGAAAAAAATATTTCTTAGTTTCTGCATGTGCTAATTTTTATTTGGTAAAATGTAATATTCTGACTGTTTGAGTTTTATTAAAATTAACCATTGGTCATCCAGCATCATGCATTTAGATCATGATAACCACAGATAAAACCGGGCATAGCCTATAGCACCTCACTATCATGGCAATATGTTACTTAATGGTTTCTATGGTATTTGTATGAAAAACTGTAGCCTAAATACATTATTAAAATAATGTTATTATATTCCATTAGTCCTTACATTGTCTACATTAATAATATAATACAATTCAATATGTATATCCCACATTTCATAGTGCAGTTAATATTAGTAGGCTAACGTTACAGTAAATCCGTGGTAAATGATGGGAATTTGTTGACGGAAAAGCTTTCTGACTGTATCGTTGCGCACTGTGTTTCTACTGTTCGCCAGCGCTGTTTCATCTGCCTTTAAACTGGTTTAAATCATTGAGACATTTGTGTTCTTCGCTGAATTCAACCGCTTCTCACTGGATCTCGTGACCGAGGCAGAGTAAACGCATCTGCTCTAGTGAGCTCGCGCAGCGCTGCGCTGCCGTTTGGACTTTGAGCCGAGCGGATAAACAGTCCGTGAGGCACGCGCGGTTCAAATGAGTTTCGTTACGCTTTTGGCACATAAACATTATCGAACATTTATCGAACTCTTGATATCGTTTTATCGAGAAAAATTATATCGCGATAACTATCGTTATCGTTTTATCGCACAGCCCTACTTTCAGGTCTCTTGTATTGCGTTTACTCAATTTAACCTTGTAAAAGTTGATCTTACTCTAGTCCCAAGGCTAGGCCTAGCCAAAGCTAATCTCTCTGCAACTCTGTAAGATTCTTATGCTAAGCTGACCCACTTTTGTGTGTGATTTCAGATTGGGGTGGGGTGGGGCATAACACTCATTTTCCTCCTCTCTATTTTTTCAGAGTGCAAACACTTGCTTTCATTTTTGCTGTGTGTGTATGTGTGGGCACAAGTGGGTTTTTTGCAGTGCACGTGTACAGTTGCACAAGGCCAATCTATCACACTTTGGGAAAGTGAGGACACGACCTCATTTCCCTTTGAGTGTCTGTTGTCACTTCCTGTTAGTCGATCCAGCAGCACATGAACTCATGCCACCTGCCTGTGTGTGTAAATCTGATGATTGTAGTGCTGACATGATTATGATGCATTTAAAATTATAATTCTGACTTTATTTTACTTGTTTGGATAAAAACAAAGCTGTTTTAACACAAATTATCTGTTGAATGTATGTGTAGTAGGTGTATCCATTTTCTTGAACACTTGCTGTTGTTCATTTTTTTTATGCCTGGTTGGATTAAGCAAGTAAAAAAATTCAGTATTTTTAGGGTTAAGTTGTGAAAGTTAATGTAATAACAGCTAGCACCCTCTGCTGGACCTCCTGTTTCACAATGAGCTAAAGAGGGTGAGAGAGAGAGTGAGCGAGCAAGGGAGAGAGAGAGAAAAACGAGTCCGGATTTTAACGACATCTCTAATATTCATGCTGATGCGTTTTGCTGCTTTGTGCTTTCATTTCTCGCCGCTGCGTCTGCGTCTCCTGCTCGCCGCACACACCCCAGCCTGAGAGAGGGGAGGGGAACAAGGGAAAAGGAAGGAAAGAAAACAAGTGGAAATAAGGAAAACAAGCTACGGAGCGTCCAACTGAGCCAGTACAAAAAACCTTTTGTGTTAGCAATCCTACCTTCGTCTGGTATGTGAAAGGAGAAAGAGGAACGAGAAGTCTTGTCGGTCTATGCGTGTGTGTGAACGCAAGAGAGTGGACGAGAAAACGACGGCCGGGAGAGATCGAGTGCAGTTGTTCTCGGACGGACAGTTGGAGGGAATCGATGAGAAAGAGAGAGCAAGAGAGGGAGGGAAAAGAATAGACAGAGCCCAGCTGAGCACAGCAGAATGAGAGAATCCCGGACCAGCGTGGCTGCTTCATCAGTCTCTTCCTCATTCCCTCGTTTTCCGTGAAGCGCGGCTCCATGCAGCCCGGCCAGGGGAGGAGGAGGTGGTGAACAGGGCTTCTTCAGCCACGGACCTGCCGGGGGAGGAAGGGAGAGAGCGAAAGTGAGAGAGAGAGAGAGAGAGAGAGAGAGAGAGAGAGAGAGAGAAGGGAGGAGGGAGTGTGCAAAAGAGAGAGAGAGAGAGAGAGAGAGAGAAAAAAAAACGGCGAAAGGGCAAGGCTTTTGTTGGCGGTTGGAGTGAGGGAAGAGGGGGGAAAGAAGAAAAGAAAAAACATGTCTACGGTGAAGAGACCGAGAGGACGGGTGAGTGAGTGAGAGAGCGAGCATGTGTTTGTGTATGGGGTGGGGGAGGGAGTAGGAGGAGGAGGGGGAGGAAAGGGTGGGGGAGGGGGCCAGCAGGAACTGAACAGCTACAGGCTCATGCGGCAGGCTACACAATCGCCGCCATCTTGTGCTAACTGCTTCTCTCCATTTCTTATTTTCTAGCTTGCATGCTAACAGGGAATGCTATGTTAGCTAGCTTTTGGTGCCTTGTCTGCTCTTCTTCCTGTTTCGTTTTCGGTCCGTGGGATGTGCCACATGTGCGCATCAGGCTTTGAGTGGCAGCGCCGTATGCACGTTTCTGTTCCAATATAGTTTCATTATAAGCGGAGACGTTGATGACCTGAGCGAGGAGAGAGATTGAAATTGCTGCAGCGCTGGCAGCCTGTAATTTCAGTTATTTATAGATGTGTAACATAGCTGCAGTGCTCACGGCTTGCTGCATTTTTCCCTCGCTCGCTCGCTCTCTCTCTTGCTCGCTCACGTCATATTCTATCTATTACTCATTTTCTCATATACGCCCTCCCTCCTTTCCCCTATAGCTTTTCTCCTTGTCTCCATTCCTGTTGATTTACCCCTTCATGCCTCGAATGGATTAGTGTGAATATTTCAGGAGAGCTCAGTCTCTCTCACACTGCTCTCCGGCTCATGTTTAGCCACCGAATGAGTTAGTGTTTATAACCCTCCCCCACTCTTTTCTTTTGTTTCACTCTTTCCAGATAATTCCCTTTTATTTAGCCATCAGGAAAGCGCAGGCCGGGTGATCCGATTTTATGTACGGTCTCTGTTTTGTGTTTTTTTTGAGTCAAGAAAGCTTTATTGGCATGACAGGAACATTGCTTTGGACGTGTGTCATGTTTATAAAGAGCAAGTGTGCAAAATAAAACCTAATAAAGTAAAAGATAAGATCTCGTTCTCCTTCTTTATGGGGTTCAAACTCACTTTAGCTGCTTTCCTGGTGAGAAAAAGTGTAAAGAATTTTAGGAATTAGAGAGTCAGCGAAATGGGCATGAATAATAAAAGTTGGCATGTCTCGGCCTGTTAAATGATCGTGCGGTGAATTATACATGTCTGTCTTTTTATTTCATGGGGTGAGGGTGGATAATGTGAATAAACTGGCTCTCAGGTTGACGATTTCAATTCTTGACCTTTGATCAGTTCTGATGAACTGTGACTTAACACCTCTATTCCATATGTTTACAAAAATTATCTATCATGTTTTAATGCTTAAACTGGTGATATAGTTATAAATACGTGCATGAGTGTGCAGCCTGCCCTCCGTGGTGTTCTGAGTTTGCCTGTGCAGTTGTCCAAACCTTTCCTTTATCGTCCTCTAGGCTATAGCTGGTTGGCCACGTGATTGGAGAGCAGTGAATATTATGAAACCCAGGCTTTAAGAACATTGATGATGCAGCAGTTCAAAGATGGAGGATTTCCCATGTTGTCATCCAGTATGTGTGGGTGGACTCAGGCTTACCATGCTGCACTGCTTCAGCTACAATCAGATTGAGAAAGGATCTCCAAGGATTTTTATCTTGGACCACCTCTTATGTTTAGTCTGCTGGCGAGGTCATGAAATACCTAGTGTGCTTATTAAATTCTCAACCTGTATTGAGCTGGGTAAAGAAAGACCCAAACTCTTAAACGGTATTTGAGCTGTAAGCACATAAAGTGCCTCTACTACCTGACAGGCCTCACTGTAAAAGGTTTCGTGAGAAATCACACCTGTCTCAGTAACAGCCCTAGACACTGTAACTGCAAAAAAGAAACAGGGGAGCGAGACATGTTTTAGCCAATCAGTAAACCAGCCATTCAGAAATGTTATTTGCCTGTCAACAAGGTATGCAATTAATTGTTTTGCCCTCCAGGCACAAAGGCTGGTGAAATTCCCAGTTCAAAATATATGATAAATATAGGCCTATATAAAATGTGCAAAAAAACCCCCATATTTTCTTTGTTTTTTGGACTATCACAATCCTTGGTTTCTTTTAATTTAATTAAAATCAGCATGAAATGGAAATTCACCCTATCTATTTTCCAAATTCATGTTATTAATCTTACTTTGAACGAAATGCATACATTTCTTTTTTGAGGCCATAATTTTTCATCAAAACATCATAACTGGATCTTCCAGTGAAACTACAGACTTCTCTCTTGTGACATATGCTGGACTTCTCCAATCATTTAGCCTGCTTAAACCCCAGCCCTTTATTTTAGTCGACTGCAAGCTCGCATTCAGATCTGCCTCCATTCAATCAACAACTGATGAATAGAATCAAGTCCCTGCCCAACATTTTTTTTTTCTTTTTCGATAATCCGCTGCACACGGATACGTCACAATACGAAGAAAAAAAAAAGATTTGTCTCTACTTTCATTACATTGCGACTCAGTTAACTTTTCATTGACACTGTTATTATATTTTTTGTTTTGAGCCCAATTTTTTAAATCAGACATTATCAAAAGGAACCTGTAGAGCTTTGCCTTCACAGTACATGTTATGTAAAACTACCTGCATTTGGCTGGTAGGTCGTTAATTTAATTATAAATTATTTTAATTATATAAAATACATTTTTTCACATTCTGGGTTGCTGGGATCTCTTTGGAGGTCTGGGTTTTGGAGAGAGGTTGTGTGCTCGAAGTTATTATGGTGAAAGTTAGCGAAACAGACTTCACTTACAGAACCTTTAATCTTACATGCAGAGTAGCTGTTTCACTGTACTGACTTTGTCCCCCTTAATAAGAAACCTATTAAAGTATTTACATCCGCTCGAGTCCAAGTTTTCTAGGTCATGACTAGAGGAGTAATGTTATGGCTGTTCATGCAACTCGTCCTGTTTCATGTTGAATAGCACTCTCAAATTGACCGGCAGACTAGTCTACATGGCGTCATGGTATCTTAAATAGTGTATTGATCATCATGGGTTTAGCATATGGAATTACAGAATCCTGAAATAGAAACTTATCTATTGGTTTCCTGTACAGTCCTGCCTACACAACAATTCTAGATGAAGCTAGTCCTATGGAGAACATTAATATCATGGTTGGATGGTAACATCTTTTTTTTTTTTTCTCTTTTCTCACAGCCTCCTAAGAACACTAATGGTCCCAGCAGCCAGCCACGGGTACTCAGCCCTCCAGTGAAAAACAGTTCCTCTTCTTCCTCTTCGTCATCCTCGTACGTATCCGTGTCTGAGAAGAGGGTGCTGAAGCGACATCAGCAGCAGCAGCAGCAGCAGCAGCAGCAGCAGATGGAGTCATCTCTTTCGGACGATAAACAACAGAAGGCCAATCGAATAATCTCGGAGGCCATCGCCAAAGCACGAGAGAGGGGAGAGAAAAATATTCCGCGCGTCATGAGTCCCGAATGCTTTCCGTCTTCATCGTCACAGCACCGCAGTCATAGGGCAGGTTCCTCCAAGTCCAGAGGCAAGAATAAGAGTTCCAAGAAGGCCCGGATTGTGGCGTCATCCAAGCCCAAGCAAAAGGCTAAAATTGGGTAAGACCACTGTGACATTCTGCCCTATCTGAAGGATGAATGACATTTCATTCATTTGTTTCTTTGTCTGGGAGCGGGAGGGGAATGTCATACAGATGTGTCTGTCATGATTTGTGATGACTTGGATGACAATTCATCCAAGAACATCTCTGTAACTTCACCTGCGTGTTGTTAGCCATGCAGCTAATTACTGCAAGTTAAAGAGGTTTTACTGCTTACACGTGGTCTTTCTTAAGTTGTTTTTGTGTGTCAAGTCTAAAACAGATGAGAGTCAAGATCTCTTAAAGATGCAGCGCTTTATCAGAGCATGAGGAGCATTGAATGTCATGTTAAATGCTGTTAGCTTGAAATAGCGGTTTAATTAAGCACTAAGGCAGGGGTCGGCAACCTATTGCGCACGTGCCAACACTGGCACACGGAGGGTTAATCGCTGCAAATTTCGGAGATATTCAACCAAGTATACTGAGTCATTATTAAACATTCCACACACATCGGAATGACTGTGATGCATGTGGAAACTCCGTTCATGCTTACCTAGTCACTTCTTGTGTTTTCTCTGATCGGATAGCCATCCAATCATGAAAAGACCGAAAGAGAAGGGGGTGTTGTGGCACAGTGATTAACTTGGAAACTTAAAAATGGCACTTCAAGACAAAAAGGTTGCCGACACTTGCAAGGCATGAGAGGCTGTACAGTATTTTGAATAGGGGTGTAACGATACACGTATTCGTATTGAACCGTTCGGTACAAGGCTTTCGGTTCGGTATACATTACAAATCAGGATCAGGATCATTTTTCTTGCCTGTGCGACTAAAATTTTGTTAGCACAACGTTGCCCAACATCAAATGGCAAACGTAACGAAAGCGGAACAAAACTGCGCTACATATTTGTGCTTCACGGACCGTTTATGAGTTTGGACCAATGTCAGTGCAGCGTGAGCCGATCTTGATCAAGCAACACTGTTACTACAGCGCTAAGAGATCCAGTAAAGAAAGCATTTGAATTCGCCACTGATCTAATAACATCGCTGCGAGATCTAGTGAGAAGCATTCAAATGTCTCTGCTATTAACTGTAGATCTCTATTATATCAAACGCCGACATCACCCCAGTGTGTCAATTACTGGAACTAGACGAAAACAAGGAGAAACACACATGCTACAAACTATCCCCGCAGCATTTAGTGGACACTCGTCTTTCTGAAGATTTTTTTTTTTAATTGAGTAAAAGCACACTGAGTTCCATTATAAAAACAAAATTGTTCTTTTCTTTGTATTTGTTTTTGTTTATAACTACTACAATATTACATTACATTTTTTATAAGGAGCTGTTTTTGTTTTATATGCTGCTAAGACAACACCCCAGAAGATGGGTCATAGCTCCATCATTGTTCAAAGTAAAAAAAGATCATACTTTATGATGATAGTTTTAATAAATAAAAAAAATTAAGGAAATTTCTCCGGCATTTCTTTCTTTTTGCTGTATTGAAAGCGTACCGAACCGTGACATCACTGTGTCGTATCGAACCGAACCGTGAATTTTGTGAACCGTTATACCCCTAATTGTAAATATAGTTAAAGGGGTCATATAATGGTACATGCACTTTTACAAGTTGATTGTACTGAAATGTGTGTTGGCAGTGCCTGTACACAAACATCATATAATGATAAAAATCCATCCAGTGGTTTTGTTTTAATCTCCTTATATGTTTTCCCCTGCCTCAAATCGAGCCGTTCGTTTTTGTGACGTCAATAAAACGGAAGCCCCTCCTACGATTGTTGATTGACGGGAGCGTTTCAACACAGACCCGCCCTCGCACATGAGGTAGCTGTCAATCATAGTCTGCGCGGCGCGGACCGGACCGGCGCGGTCATTGTTGATGTGCCGGAGCACTGTCTATGAGCAGAATGGCGTCTAAGCGATTGTGGTGTTCTGTTCTTGGGTGTAATAACGAACACAGTCATTTTAATGTTCCTGAATCCGAACCGCTGAAGACGCAGTGGCTGAGTTTGTTTTCGAAGGGAATATTCCACACGAGCAACGTCAATGCTTTCATGTTTGCGCGAATCATTTCTCACCAGACTGCTTTATAAACGAGGGTCAGTATAAAGCTGGATTTGCTAAGAAGCTTTGCTAAAAAGGATCGGTACCAGCTATTCGTGTTCCTGCTGAACCTCCAGAAGAACGGAAGTGAGTGAAACGTTTTATTAAACTTTATATTAATATATTAATCTTTGCAAATCGCTAGCTGCACGCTTCACAATGAATGCGTCAAAGGTTTACACTCAGTCAGGGTACATTACGGCATGTTTTCTATGTATGACGTTCTCAATATAATTCATAATTCCACGTTTATATTGTGTTATTGTGTTACAAACGGTGTATGCACAGAACAGAGGGGCGGAGTGAGCGCAGCTCATGATCATTTAAAGGCATATGCACTGAAACGGCGTGCTGAAAACAGAGCTGTTTTTGACCAGGTAAAATAACTCTTTTCTTACAATACTAATGAGAATTTTTAATTAAAGTATATTACAAACTTTTAATTTAGACCCTAAAGAATCATATTAGCTTGTACAAAAATGGCATTATATGACCCCTTTAAGAGTAAAGAGCATTGATGTTTCTCAGTTTTTAGGGCATTTGTTAACATTCGACTAAAGCAGAGACGCCTGAACGTTTTACTATGAAGGGCCAAAAAGCAAATATTTCATTCTATTCATCTATATTCAAATTAAGAAAAAAAAAAAAAATCCAATTTACTTATATTCTATGTATTTCAATGAAAAAATAAAACAAAAAAATGTTTAAACAAAAAGGACATTAAGATATGCTTCAATGATATAGTGGGTCAACTCTGGCCCAAGGGCCATCTCTTGACTAAAAGCAATTCAAACATTCACTCCTCCATTGCCATGTTGTGAGAAAGTGTGAAAACGTGCCTAAATCGTCAAAACGCGGCATTTGTCAGCCATTTCTTTCACCTTAATTCGCCCTTCGAGTTGTGCAAAACTAGAAAAAATCCACCTCAGGCTAACGCATAAACTTGTATGCAAATGTTGAGAGTTAATGCGCGTATCAATAATCTCCTGTCAGGTTTTTTTGAGCACAACTTTTGCTAGAAACCCAACAATAGTCTCTGACGGGTACAAAATTCTAGCACTGCAAAGATGGCAAGCGCAGCAAAATCCTCTGTAAAATTGTAACTCTGTAAGTTCAAGAAACATTAAGTCTAACAAAAATGCCAACAATCCATTAGATGTTTACATATATATTTTCTTTTAATATCATGCTGATGATTCTGCCTTTAGCTGTTAGGAAGTCTTTGGACCTAGAAGCTCAGAGCATGCATGGAGAGTGCACGTTGTAACTATATCTTACCAGTTACAGAACCTTCTAGCAAACCTTTTTGAACCAAGGACCCCTTTTAATAACCCCAAACTGTATGAGAATTTCTGCCCTAGCAGTTCTTCCGAGAAATGTTGGAAATTTGACTATTAAAGACTAATATAGGGGCCATTTTTAAATAATATTTTAAGACTTTTGTTCACTAGTATGAAAAAATAGATCAGTAGGGATGGATTCTGGATGCAGAACCAGTTTCTATTAGATCAGTAATCTGAGGCAGGACTTTTTTAGCCTAATTGTTAATGCCAAAGACCCGCAATATGATTCAAAGGACCCCCTTTATAAAATATAAAGGAGTCCATATATTTCAAAACTTATTCATACTGTCTGCAAAAAATAATGTTATGTTATTTATTTTAAATTTTTTTGTAAATGGCATTCATGTTGTCATTGTACCAAAGCCTCAATATATGGTTGTATTTTTATCTGAAAAATATTAATTCAAAACAATTATGAATTATTTTCACAATAAATAGTGGTCACATTTTTTTTGTCTCAAACACATCACCTTGTACCCGTTTGATGCCACCTAAGGGGGTCCCCGGGCCCCAGTTTGAAAAGCCCTAATTTGAGGGTTGCATGAAAAATGTGCCGCTTGTTTTGTAACCCACAAACATGGCAAAGGAACAAACATGTGCTAAACACACAGTCCCATTTTTGTTGTGGTTAATGATTCCTTTACAAAATTTACCTCACACATAACAGCAGTGCTCACACAGACAGCCTCTTCTGGAGAGTATGAATAGATCAAAAGTCTGAACCGAATATGCAGAGCTTTATGACATCATGATGTCATCTGATCTGCATTAATGGAGGACTGAATGGAAGAACGTGACATGAGATTTCTAGGTCATGTGCATTATGTGAAGGCCTCTGCAAACTATGTTCCACTATATTGTTTGGCTTTTCCAGCTCTAAGGTTCAGTCTAGATGCTGCTTTGTTCTTAGGAAGGCCACATGCTCTATTATGGTCCATTGCTGAGATTACAAAGCTAGCGTGAAAGTGTTTAACATTCCTGCTGTGCTTGTAAAAGTAGTATGTTGAATTTCTTCTATGACTTGTTCATCGTGCTTAATGGATTAGCAGTCTGACTGACCCAAATACTTCAGCAGTAAAGGCAAGACAAACCTGGCATGTGTATGTTCAGAGTTCAGACTCAACCCCTCACTGGGTAATTTCTTTGCTTGTTTAACACAGTTTCTCGGCTCAGTCACCTCTGTTGTACAGATTACATTATTTACCACACCTGACAGAGGGAAGCAGATGTTTATGGCCGGTTTGCAGATACTCCAAAATGAGAGGGGCAGTTTTACATTTTGAATTGCTAATAGACTAAGTGGTCATCTTCTATCTGTTCAGTTCTCAAAGTTACCTGTCTGGTATGGCAAGCTTTTATTAAGCTTGGTTTGCAGCGCAAGTGTGAACAGGATGTTGTAATCTAGCATTATTCTGCTGACAGGCTAATGTGTTACGTTGTTGCCGCTCTGCTCTAAGTGAGTGGCATTTATTAAGGGTTGAGTGTTATGTTGTAGGTAGTAGTGTCTTGACCATACAGATTAGGAATTTTTCAAGTTAACAAAGTCATTTCTCAA